GGTAGGCATTATTTTGAGGCCCCACCTGTCAGTGTTTTCTGTTTGATTCTAGGGGCTGTATGAGTGTGTGTGTGTGGTGTGTGTGTGTGTGTGTGTGTGTGTGTGTGTGTGTGTGTGTGTGTGTGTGTGTGTGTGTGTGTGTGTGTGTGTGTGTGTGTGTGAGAGAGTGAGTGTGTGTGTGTGTGTGTGGGGGGGGGGGGGTTCAAGGTCTTGGTAAGGCTTTGTTGCGGCTTTCTATACCCTTGTAGTCATCAAGGTGCAAGGTATTTTACGGTTTAACAGCTCTGCGATGACTCACACAGTTTGTTCAGTCTCTCCCTTCTTTTCTCTGTCTTCCACGACCTGCTCTTTTTTCTCTTCCCTCTTTCTCTATAGCCGGGAATAGCCTCTGTACATAACATTCATCCAATAACTAATCCCAAGCCATTAGATAGCTGTAACAAGCAACCAACTCAACCTTAAACCTGACAAGTCAATCAGGCCCCTCTAAGCATCTCCATTGACATTGAACTGGAAGCTCATATTGCCCCAAATGTAATGGTTTTTTATTTTTCAGTGAAATACATCTATTAAGCTCATTTTATAATTTCAACATTATAGTTGAGATTGTTCTCCACTCAATTTGACCAATTATTTCCCCTTCTGTGCAACACAAATTTGAAAGATTTAACTCAAAGTGCGTTGAACCATTACGAAGTCACCCTGGATCATCAAGACTGTGTGAAAATACAAGATGTAAATGTCAGTAGCAATGGGCGTCATTTATTGCTCACTGGACGAAACTGGAATCTTTTCCAAAAAACGAGGTACAGCCTCTTTAATGTTGATGACTTTGAGTCAAAGTTTCATTTGTTTGATTGATGCCTCAGCTTGCTTGGCTGGAAATTCGTAACTTGGCACTCAGCAAAACTCAATTTATTGTGAGTAATCTGAGAGCCAACATTTAGTCTTTCTAAATAACCGTCCGGAAAGATCAAACTGTAAATTTAAATAAGGCAGAGTCGTGCCAGTTTTAGTTTGTTTTCTTTGAGTGACTGTTTGTCTTTTTAAAGTCTGAAGGATGTGATTACATATTCAGATTTTAAAAGATTTTCCTCAGGGCAATTGGATTTCTTTGATAAACTTATTGGGAAAATATGATTGAAATGTGTCGAAATGTATTTGAATAATGTACTCTATAAACTTGGCCTTTAGATGACACATTGCCTTTCATATATGCCTCTCATAAAACACCATAGTAGCATCCTAATGAGTCAAATTCATAAGACATGCCACTGACTAATGCATTCTTTATCATGCCATTAACCGGCTAATACAGAAGAGAAACAGTAGCTTGCTTGTAACTCGGCAATTTTAAGAGTAATTCTGTCATTTAAAAAATATTTATACACGTTGTCATAATTATGCCTTTGTATATCAAAAATTGCTTTTAAATGTGGGGCTATTAGGCTAATTGATATGTGTCATCGTACCTCAGTTAAAGCCTATTATTAAAAGTCAGCAGTCAACTTATTATTTCACATTTTTTACATTTTAGAGACTCAATTTCACACCAACTCGCAAGAATAGTGGGTTTTGGGTGTCTTGCTTAAGGGCATTTTGAAAGGATACACTGCTGCAAACTAACATGAAAGATACAGCAGGATTAAACCTGTTTTGAAAATGGGACCAAGTTCAAGTCTGCCATCCTTAGGCCTTCAATCATTGGGAAGCATGAATACTCAAGAGTAGGCAGAGTAAAGACAACATACATGAGGCCAAAATGTGACCCTGCCTGTCACCAAGTTTCATTTATATGTCCACACCAAAAAATAAAAAGGTCCCAAAAGACAAATGATTTTTACCTAGGATCATGAACCTATTACTACTCATGACATATTGGCCCCCTCCCAACGTCTATTCTTCCAAGTCAGCACTGACTGGAACTTGTGTCACCAGTTCCACCTCAGACTGTTTCTACCACATCTATTGCAGGGAAGCCAGCTGTTGTTGAGTTCGTCTGACGCGCTGCACATTTGTGTTTTGTCTGCATAATCAAGGAAACCAGAAGTAAACTGATGGAGAGATACAGTCCCAAATTACTCAGGAGGAAACGGGGAACAATGAGCAATTTACGTTCGCTTCATGTCTCTGTTCCACCACAGTGCTAAGTGTCGTCAAGGCTTATCACTGTCATTTACATCTCTTCTCTTCCACTGCCTCAGGCAAAAAACCTGTAGGAGCACGTTATTATAGGGATAATTTAACCTCAAATAGTGTAAATGGTTAATTACTTCAGAATTTAGATTTATATTAGTTGTTAACCCTAAAATCAATGATTTGGCTCTGTCAAAAAAAACTAAAGTAAATCCACAGACAACAACAATGAAGCCGAATTTGGTTAATGATTATTCAATAGCATGTCTTGGTAGCAACATATTGATTACTACAAGAGACATATTTGTATTTGAAAAAGTAAGACAAAAAGTATTCTTGGCATGAACGAAACATATAAAGATAAATCATTCATTGAGAACCGTTACTCTACTTAAACATCATGACTGATCTCACACTGAAGTAAACTGACACGACCACCATGATATCAAACAAAGTTAGTTGTCTGTCAAACAGACACTGGTTGATCTTTTAATGCTTTGTAAAAGTCCTTAGAAATGTTTAAATGTTTAAAGCCATACAAATGATAATTTGCTGATTGCTTTAACAGCATCAAGAATTTGAAAATATGTGTTGGAATATCACTCAATCATTCAAATTAGTTTAAATATGCATAAAGTTACTTCAGACATAGGTATTGAGTAATGCAATCTTCAAAGGCGTATATTAAGGCAATTCATAATACTTAAAAGAACATTGATATTGGGAATTCCCATTATGGCCACATTAACAAACAGACTACACATACCATCCTTTGGTTTACGGTGAGAAAGGGTGAAAGGGCGAAGTAGAAGGGGCTATACAAGATAATTCATTGGACACAAAGTTCACAATGATATACAGTATACCCCCCTGTGTATCCTGCAACCTATCAATGTTCTTCTTTGCATATGAAACTAAACTAAACTTTGGGATTTTAGCTTTTGCAGACTATTTACATGCACACAAATCTATATAACCCACTACAGGAAAGGGAAACCCCCAAAAGCTTGTCAGGGCCTCTTTAACAACGTGTTAAAAAAGATTATATTTCTTCTTTATAAAAAATAACTTTTGCTGCTTTTGTGGTGCCACAAATGGTGTTGGAGTGGGACCTCTTGTAGTTATTGCATGTTTGGACAGGACGCAACTGTTATTGTGATAAGATCTAATTCCTGTTTGAAACATATTTTATCAAATTGTTGCAATACATATAAAGTGTTATAATGAAAGTCCAATTTTGACATTTTGATTGAAGTTATTTTCAAAGAACAGATTCACCATTATTATTCTTGCAGGTCTTGAACACACACACACACACACACACACACACACACACACACACACACACACACACACACACACACACACACACACACACACACACACACACACACACACACACACACGCACACACACAGTCTCTGCCAGCAGAAATAAACAGTAATGTAATAATGACAAGCCAATGTTGATCCAACCATCCGAATCAGATTGTGTTGTACTCCGTGGCGTTATCATTGGCCCACCCATTCTCCACCTATTTTATTTGGTAATATGTTTTCTTATATCAATCCAATTTAAGTGTAATATTTACACTGATAGCAGAGGGAGATAATGTCACAAACTGTGTTTTCTTTCACAGGTGTGTAGAGACATAGAGCACTGCAGGGTGAGAGTGAACGTTTAACTAGGTCAAATATTAACCTAATCTGCACTTAATCTGTGGTAATATTATGGTAATAACAGAGTATTTCTTTTGCATTTACTACAGTCTCACACTGAGGGATTTTCTTCTAAATGGTCTCAATTACAGCAGCACAGGCCTGACATTTAGTTATGGGTCAAGCTCCAAACACACATGAGCCTGCATTTCCCAAAATGCAGCTGGAAAGACTATATCATTAGGCCTTCCCCGCCTGGTAAATTGTTTTAAAGGGTCCCTGTTATGCTCATTTTCAGATTTCATATTTGTATTTTGTGCTTCTACTGTGACTATCATGTACAATGTGTTGGAGCACTAGCCAATAGTGCAAGTGATACAAAGTAACAATAATAACAATAATAATTAATAATAATGATAATTATTGCAGATTATAGATTATAAATAAATCATTTAGGGACAAGGGGGTGAGATTAAATAAATTATACTTCTTCTCACTCCTTTTCGAACACTAGATGTGGGACTGTGTATGTTGCTAATGCTGTTGTTGTTGTTGTAAATGTCATTTTTTGTTTTGATTTCCCTTACATGACTATGCACTGCAACATTTTTTTTGTTTTGTAATTATTTATTTTACTTGTTCGAAATAAAATGTATCTAGCAAAGTGATGTCACTGTCGCTGAACTAAACAAAGGAGTCCAATCAAGGCTTTACAGGCAGGGTTGGGGGGGTGTAGGAGAGAAACTCCCTCTGGAGGGAACTTTGGGATTTTACATAACACAGTACAGGACAGGGAAAAACCCCCAAAACGAATAGGGCCCCTTTAAAAGTCTCCAGGTTGTCTTAAAAAGCATGCAAAATGAACAAAAAATTATGAACTGCAAACCCAGGGTGAGAAAACAGTATTTATGAATGTAATTCTTCAACTTTGGAAACCTAGTTCAGAGCTACAAATCATGGCAGTGGTTTAGTGGTTCTCTTTGTGTCATGTCAACTGGACTTGATGTGTACATTTAGTGCCCCTTGAATGTGAAAAGCCAAAAATTGCCGAAGTAATTGATCTCAAAGTGATTCAACGCTATTCCACACGTTATCTGGAGTAATGAAATCACAGCACAATATATAAATGTAGGATTTATGCCATTGAATGTGACCAGAATCATGGAGAACACATCCACTTAAACACCCTCATTCCTCTGTTCTCACCTGTCTGCCAACTCTGTTATTATGCAGCCTCATCCTGGCGTGGATGTCCCTGTAGGTTTCGCGAGCATCCAAGAAGTCCCTGGAGAACTTCTCACCGAACTCCACGTCGGGGCTGCAGCCGCCCCACTCCCAGGAGTCCTGGGATCCCGGGAGGTCGGCAGGGAAGTGCTCCATGACCCCGTGGACCATACCCTTCCCCCGGTTGATGGCCTCCTGTTGCAAACGGTGCAGTTTGATGCGGAAAGCCTCCTGGTCCCCACGTCTCTTCTCATCACAGCTGCACGCCTTCAGTTTGCCCATGGAGCAAGCGTTGGCCACTGCGTGCACCACGCCTGCCGCTGCGATGGCATACGCAAAGGCACTCTCTCTGAAACCTGTAGTAAAAAGATAGGACAGTTTCTTTGTTATATAGCCTAAAGTGGAATTATAACGTTTCACAAACTGTCACCATCAGGAAACAAGGATTGGAAAATAAAGCTGTTGTTGTTTAAAAAAACATGTCATAACACACAGTTTTGAAGCTCAGTCCAAGACATGTTTTCAGTAAAAATGGCCAAGAGGAAGATGGAGTTTAAACTCTCTAAACTGACACTCTGCTTCACTTTGAAGGAAAAGTCGCTGAAAGCTGACATGCGTCAAAATTCAGCAATGTGACATGTTTCGTTTTAAGAATGCCTTTTACCAGTGTTATAAGATCAATTTTATTTGAAGTGTGAACAAATTTCAAATAACCTGCAGGCAGAACATACCATTGTGTCATTTACCTGTCAGGTGGAATGAAAGGATTAGCAGAATGAAGGAGGATATTTGAAAGCAGACCAAATTCAGATTATTATGACTTGTTTAATAGTTTAGTTGGGCTGCATTTCTCAATTTGTTACCATAACAGCACGAGGTACAGTAACACACCGCTTACATATCCCTCATTAAAGTGTTGCTGTGCAGCTGCGTGATACAACTTTAAGATGTCAAGTGATTTTCTGAGCCCTAAAAGTCAGTTTTGTACCTCCTCTATTTGGATAAAGATACACAAAACAGTTTATTCACACGTTACATGCCAAGACTCATAAAAATGGGGAAACATCTGGGACAATAACAATTAAGTGTTCGAAAAAACACTTGCATACTTGGTCTCTGTGGGCCATGTGAACATGAACAGACCCCCACCACTCCCATCAGAGGACTCACAGAGGAGTCCCACACTGAGCAGCGCTGTCTCCTTCTTGTATACAAGACATGTGGCAATGCCTTCCTCATACTGCTCAATTATGGGAATACAACTATTATCAGAAGTGTTTTGGTTACGATTGTGATTATTTTCCACGATTACTCATTGACTTTGGAAACTTCATGCATTTATTGAACTTTAAAAACATTTTAGCAGGGGATTTTCTTGAACTTTGAATGTAACTCAACTAAAAAACAATTACAAAAATTACAAAAAAGTATCAACAAATAAATAAATAAGTTATACATAATAATTAGAAATAAAACAAATAAATACAATTAGAACACAATAAAGTATCTGCTTAAGTGCACTGCTAAATATATTTTCAATATTTTTGTAAACTATATTAAGCATCAATAAGTTAAATTGAGGAAGAATCTGACCTATGTTAAGTAAATTAGGGCGCTAGATTTTAACTCAAGACAAAACTAGATCATCAATAACATATCATCCTGATTATCTTGTTTCCATAATAGTTTGAAGCCAACTCATTTCCCAGCCTTACCTTCTCTGACAATCCATAATCCATTTATCTGTTTTTGACATTTCCCATCTTCCTAATAAAGTTTAAACTTCTACTGTACCTTCATATGTTAGGGTAGATTGGCTGATTATGCCACAACACAGCTTTTTGCCTTGTTATCACTTGCAATTGTCTTAGAAAGACTTCTGTTGTACGCATATAATCTCTCTACAGGATGTGTGAGTGCTTTTGCCTTCACACCTAAACACATTATTTTCTCATTAATAGCAACTTACACGCGCCACATGTAATGAGGACAACTGATCTGCTATTTTGGTCTTCATTTACACAATTGCACTGGCAATATACACATATATAACATTAGCGCTGTCCATGTAGATTCATATCTGGGACAAATAATAATACATTTCAAATAGTTAAATCCTTGAATATTGAAGGAGGAAGTGCGACAGTAGCGCTCGCTCGTACCCTCTACATCGTTTGTTGTTGGATCTCAGCCTACTGTGCCCTCAGGTTGTATTAAATCAGTCCCACTTGCAGTCACTTACTGGAGCAGAAAACAGTGAAGATTATAATGAAAACTTGTAAGGAAAACATGAAAAGAAACCACTTAGGAGTTTATAGCACGCTGCTTGAAGGGGAAATTATTCAGGCTGCTTGTTGGTGTCAAATAAAAGGCTATTAACTGGAACTGCCCTTTTTAGCACTGTTTGATGTTACTTCCTTATTTGTATATTTAAGTAATCTTCATGCTATTTTGTTTTTGTGAGACATGATGTAAAGTATGACACATATGTTGTCATTGTGGAGTTTTGTATACTTGACATCGGGCACATTAACAGGCGAAGGCAGCGCAATTACCAGTAAACGAGAAATTCATCCATTCTGCGGTTCTCCCATGTAACCAAACTGCATGTTTGAAGTATTACCAATACTTTTGCCAATGTGCAGAAAGAAAATAACCTAAACATAACTCTTGAAAGACCGATTGCTAGTAGATCATCGCATAGGGGAAAACATTGAAGGGTTGCAACGCATCACAATGTTATCCTGCAAGGCACCACATTAATCTTAAACAGGCCTTTAAAAAGCCCCCCTCTAAGGCATCCACTGCATTGTTTTAATGCAGGGCTGTTTTATTGCAAGGCTGTTTTCAGTCTGACTAAATTAGCCGACCAGACGCAAGTAGATTTTTCGGGAGTTTTAATTCCAACGAACTGCCAACTACCCATAGTGTCTCAAAATGCACAAACCCTAACCCTCAAAACTGCATTACACAGTTCAGTCTGAACGCACAACATGGGCATATCAACAGTTTTAGGTTGGTATGACGACCTGCTAGAAAGTTGCTTATAAACACATGTAGCAGATATGGAGCAACAATACAGTTAACATTGAATCATATTACATCATATGAAATCTCAAACAATGGTTCGAATACCTTACGAAAAGTTACTTATTTGAATGCTTTTACGAGTTATTCTATGAATGTCAAATAACACTAGAGAATGCAATTCCTGCAGAAATTGCTAGTGGGAATGCTTTATGCTGAAAAGCTGACGCTAAACTGCTATGCTGAAATGTAATGTGTAAGAAGAAAGTGAAGAATTTAGATTGAAATGATACATGAACACTGGGGGCTTCAATGTGTGATGAGAGAAGAAAAGAAAGTAAAAAGGCTTGGAAAAACAGCAGAATATTTGAACTGCAAACTTTTGAACTAACTTGATGGCGAATGATCTGTTGCCATGCCAACGACATTTGATGACATCCCATAATACGCTTCGATGCGTTGATGGCTGCATCATTACCAAACCTGAGTTATAGCGACATCGTCTTTTATGGCGAGGGATACGTTTCCATGGAAACGGCATATGATGAAACCCCATAATTGACGTAGAGCTGTTGAGGGCTGGACCGTTAACCATTATCTGAAGTGTGGTGCTGTTTTGACCCTTTTCATAGGCGTTACGACAACATCGTGTTTTATGGCGAGGGATGCGTTTCCATGGAAACGGCATATGGTGAGATGTCAGATTTGACGTAGAGCTGTTGAGGCATGGAGAGGTGATATACAGGTGAAGATTGTGGGACGACCGGACCGTGTCCATTGGAGTTACAGCGGCATCGTGTTTTATGGCGAGGGATGTGTTTCCATGGAAACGGCATATGATGACACCCCATAATTGACGTAGAGCTGTTGAGGGCAGGACCATTAACCATTATCTAAAGTTTGCTGCTCTGAGCATGTCAGTTGGAGTTATGACATCATCGTGTTCCATGACAGAGGTGTTTATATTTGAGCTAACGACGTGTCCAGAGATCAAAGGTTTCCATGGTCACCTGGTAATCAGTGAGAGGAGAGCATTTTCATTGTTCTGAATGAGAGATAAACCTCTTACATGTGAATGTTTTGTTGAAGAACTGTAACAGATATCGGTGAAATTTCAAAGCGTGAAGCATGTCAAGGAACTTGAGCATCTGAAGTGTACTTTTTGTGTACTTTTGGGTTAATAATGTGGCCTTTTGGGCAGATTAACTAAAGGTGTGCGGCTGCTGTGGTGGCGAAAGATGAGGCTGAACTTAAAATGGGGTTTAATGGAGACATGTTGAACGTTTTTGTCACTTCATGCCCTCAAGAGGCATTTTGTTTAATTATTTTGCTTAATTTCTTTAAATTTTTCAAGCTACAAGATGTTTTCCTATGTTTCTCATGAACAATTATGTCTCAGGAATGTATGGTTTGGGAATTATGGCAGGTTAAAAAGAAAATATGAAGGCAAAATTAAATCTGTCCTCCACTCTAGCTGTGACATCACGCACTCTCAAATCTAAAGAAGGCCTCTTACCAAGGTCTGAACAATGTTTAATATCTGTAAAAGTACGAATCAGATTTAAAAGTTGTGTTAAACGAATAATGTCAGAAAGATGTGTAACATTTTAAAGTTGGAATGAGGTTTCTGAGTGAAAGTATGAAGGAGCAGTTAGCAGTTGAAGTTGCATAAAGATTGTTCAAGTCTGAAGAGTTTCTCTATTGACTTCCATGTTAAAAATGTGATGAATTATGGGTTCTATCTCTGGAATTATGAAAGTTATGAATGAGAAAAGTAATAGCAATCGATTCCCGACCGAGCTGAACGTTTTCATGTTTGAACGGAGTTTCTGCGATGTGGAATGTGGGAGAAGAAGAGGTGCAAAATAACCCGGCGGAATAGTAAAGAATTTCATGCGTAGCATAACAGATAGTTGGAATGCTGTATCAGCATTCCCACTAAATGAGTGGTAAGCATGCTTGTGCAACCCCCTGCAGTGCAAAACATGATGAATCAAGAAGGTTTAGGAAAAGATCATGGTTTGGGTTAGAATAACTAAAGCTTGCATATTTATGTTCGCCTGATGAATGCAAGTCTGATAATCACTCATCTTTTTTGCTCTGTTTTGGTCTACACCATCTGTTGATGGAAATATATGGCTCTTAAAAAGCTAGGTGCTCCACTATTTTCACAAACTTAACTTTTTCTACGGTTTGCTGCTGAAAACTAGCACCAAGATAATATATCACAGCATATCTTCTGAAAATAGCTTAATTAAACACCTGGAAACATGAGAGCTATGAGACTCAACCAAAAGAGTAAAGCTTATCGACACCAAAACCAAACGATGAGCTTAAAGACTCTTTGTAAATGTGTTTAACACACCAACATTCTAATAGTTATTTGCTCTTTATTAATAAAACTGTTCCCATCAACAACAACAACATATTTTAGGAGCTTTAAAATTCAACATCTAATTTAGGGCAATTATGAATTTGGTTTTAAATCAGTAAGAAATTAAATAAACAAGACCCTCACACTCAAGGTAGGGGGGAGTAAAAAGGATTGCACTTAGGCATATCCTTAGACATAGAAAGCCTGTTTTAGCTCTTGGCCTGTTTTAGGCCAGGCTCTGCAAAGCAGGCCCCCGGTAGACCAGGAGCAAATCAATCTAACAAATAATTTACCGGCTGCGACACGCCCGGCTGAACTGATGGCAGAGGAAGTGACAAAATGAATTAAAGTTTCAAAGGAAACTGTCACTTTGTGTTACAGAAACCGACTAAACTGGTTTATGCCTTTGCCGCCGAGAGTTGGGAAAGTGCTGAGAGCAAATTCACAAGCACTTGCACTGGCAAGGGAAGTAAAAGCATTAGAGCAGCCCAGCGAGGTGGGACACAGACACAGTGACAGAGAAAGAGAGGGAGATTCTCCTATTTCTGTCTATCCATGTCTTGCCTAACGTCCTCTTTAGCCTAGTTTTTGATGCAAACTAAACGGGAATGAACATGGGCCCATAAAAGTTATCCGAATCCATCAGCAGAGAGATACGTGGCAGAGCCAGAGAGGATCCAAGCACCGCTGATGTAGTAAAATAAGACACCAAACAAACATTGCAAAGCAGAGCCCCTGATATGCATCTCCAAAACTTTTTACATTTGAGAAATCTCTGCATGAATACTTAAAACGGCATATTCCAAATAAGTATTTCATTTGTATTTAGCTTTGCTAGAATGGCTTTGTGTAAACATGGATTAACTGGCTCTTACAGGATATTATTTTAAAAGCAACAATACCAGTTTGGTATACATAAGCCTTGTTTGAGACTTGATTATTTACTTTTCTATGTGCAGTTACATTGAAAATGTGTGTTAATCTCCACAATTCCACCTAATCCACATCTGTAAATCTGTCTCAATGAAAGCCCCCCCTGTTGCAGTAGCTGCACGCAACGATAACTGCGGCACGCTAACTTGTATCCATTTTTTAGCTCCTGTGGAGCTTCTGTGGAGCTTCTGTGAACGTATCAACATGTAACAGATGAATCATCCGATTTTAAGAGGTTGTTTATGTCGGTGGTTTGGAGTTTCTGCACCCGAGGCAAACCAGGGATTCCAGGGAACCAACAACTGCCTCCAATAATAATGACAAACTGCCCATCAATGAGTCAGTGAGGAGTGAAAGTATGACCAGAGGTGTGTTAGTAAATACAGTAGTTAATAGTTGTTTTTTTTCTAAGATCCACAAAGGCAACAAGGTGAAAAGTCCTCAGTAAGGGTTGAAAAACCTTCGTCATATTGCACACAGATTGAGGAGAACCTACATTATAGCAACACCCCTCCGGCCAAAGATCTGACGCATTTAATCAGGTGTTATGACGGGGGAATTCCATCAACTATTCAACGATACAGTCTTGGATAAAAGTCTTAAATAGACTACAAACTCAATATTTAAATGGTAAATAGGTATTGTCATACAAAAGCCAATACACTTCAATGCAAGAAGAGCACTATGATGTACTTGAAATTAATTTGCTTACCAACAAGTAAAGCCTGAACTGTCAATTGATGATAGATTTAGATGCAATTGGCATACTTATCGATTAATAATTCAGCTTATAAGCACTATGTTCTTTCCTATATGGTAAAATACAGGAACTCAACTAAAAACATGAACTACCAACCACATTGGTCATCTATCAAGGTGGTCATTAGGAAACTGATGCCTCTCCCAGTCAATAACCTGGGATGATTCCATCTGCAGGGCTTCCCAACTCCAAAGATCCTCTTTCATCCTTTGTAGCTTAGTTGCAAAGCTTCAAGCTCTACAAATCATCAGAGAAAACTGATCTGCATGAGGTCTGGTAATCTTTAGGAGACTAACTGCTTTTGAAGTTACCTGCTCTTTTGTCCAGGTTATTAGGAGACACGGCGAGGGTTAGAAAGTAGATACAAGTCTGCTCTTTACTAGAGCGAAAACTAACCATTTAGAGACTTCACATCTGCAAGATAACATTCAAGAATTTCATTATATGTGTGAAAGTAAACTATCCCAAACCCAGTGACTGTGTTCGGAGAACAATATTACATCAACGCGGACAAGTTTCTTTGTGGCAACTAATCTTTCTAAGCCTTTCCTTTCAAGGTTTTCTATCAAAGTGTGTTTGAGGATGAAACCACAGCCTGTTTGAAGACCAAAACCTTTGAACTCCATGCTTGTACTTCCTTGTTTTCTTTCAAGTGTTTTGTGGTGACACCTCACCTCTGTAAATTACACCTCAAGAAGTCTCGTAAGGATTCTCTTATGAGATTCTTATATTTTGATCAACTTTGAATCAACTTATTTGTGCTGAGACAATATTTGTAATGCAAGACATCCAAAGCACTCACAGGAAAATCAATTCAATTAAAATTGAACAGTAGGGTTAGGGTTGTATTGGGACACGGAAACTGACCTCTTTTAAAGACTATGCTGTCGTAGGGTATTTTGTTCCTCGTCTCCAGGCTGGAGCAGTTCCAGCGGTGCCCTCTGAACTGGTGCTGGCACTCATGGATGGCAATCTGGATTCCCTGGATTGCTGAAGCAGTCACGTCTGGGTTGCGCATGCACACCTCCAGCTGGCGCCGCGTTAAACCCGGCAGCGTGAGACACACGGTGTTGGCATTCAGGATCGGGTCGATGTTGGGGAGCTTCAGGCCCAAGATTTCATTGGAGTCTACCCTGCATGGAGCACATAGGTCAGGTTATTGACAGAGACGGAAACTCATAAATCTTTTGTCACTCACAAAAGTTTTTAGGGTTCTGAAAAATGCTTGTTAGGTGCCACAACGGTGTTCAGTTCCCACAGTATTAAACATATCCTGACAAGATGAACCAGTGTTGTTGAATAGCCTCAATAATACAGATACTGCAGGTCAATGGTGGCTAAACAGTTACCACATGCTGGTGGTTAAAAAAAGAGAAATGTGCACTATATTTATTTGCTTTTTAATTTTCACAGTCAGTTGATAATGCAAAGTTCGGTTATCACCAATATGATATATATTTAAGGCTGTTCATTATGATAACAATAAATCCATTTGCTCAAATGATATAGCCAAATATCATATATAAAAAATGTTTAGCTTTTTAAATCTACGACACCCTTTTTCCAGGATTCATACTATTTAAACGAATATGCCAAAGCTTTCTGCAAAGGCATTTTGTTTCAGTTTGATTTTGTGTTAATGTTTGCCAAATTCACCTTTGGTTTATGGATCTTCAAATTGATGCAACGTAATCGTTGTACAGTGGGTAAGCTGAGGGAACAGGATTTACTTACTTATTTACTGTCGGCATGAATCAAATAGTTATAGTAAACGTTTTGGATACACAGTCACTTTTCACCTCAGTAAATCAGTTAGCATGTAAATTCAATGACTTTTCTCGCTGCGAGGTGTGTCCCTGTCTGCTGCCTCTGTTGCAGATCAATCATGTGAACAACAGTAATTCAGCTGACAGCGGTCAAAGCCCTTTTCTACTTCACAGAGAAACACTAACAGCAATAAGCAGGAAAACACAGGCTGCACTGATGATTGAGCCCAGAGGTGCACAGCTTTTTCTTTCCATTATCATTACAAGTAAAACACAGGTTGTATGTCGCACTGTGTGCATAACCAGACACATGAGTGAGGAGCATGTATGGCTGTGGGCGGACATACACACATACAACACCTGACATGCACGCAGGAATACCCAGGTGGAGAGAGGAGGGAACAGTAACACTCACAGAGACACTAACACAGCTGCAGAACTTTGCATACTTTTTCTTTCCTTAGCCTTTATCAACACGTGTAACATCTGCAGGTTTCTCTTGTGCAAGCATTTTCAAGCAAAGAGAAAAGGTTGACTTCCTGAGTGAAAAAAAATAGCTTTAACTGTCACAACATTCTAAACTACAACATGCCGTGACATAACATGATCTTATGCATATATTAAGGTGGCATTGCATGTACTGTCATTCCAGTTTTTGTTGCAACCTGTTGTGTTGACAGTTGACCTGTTTCAATAGATGTCTTTCCAAATGTCAACTGTTTATTGATTGGCAACATTGTTTGGGAATGATGCATGGCAAGTAGTAATTTGCAAGAGATTGTAAACTTGTAAAAAGTAGACCCAGGTTTCTCTATTGAAATCAGTCGGAAGTCGCAACGGCTCATTTCAGAATAAACGTGGATTTGTGTAAACAAATAGTTTTTCAGGGTTCGGGTGTTTTGTTTGATTTTAAATAAACAAAGTCTTGGCTTTCAGAATATGAAACTTTTATTGCCAAAATATCACGATAAATACATTTATGAAGTTTGTACATTATTATTTGTGTTCAATCTTTATTTGTTTACGTTATGCTAAATCACTTTTAAAGATGACTGTATTTAATTAAAAAAAACGAATAATTGATGTTATAATGAGTAAAAAACCCAATTTGATGTAATAAAAAAACATTTTTCAGTTAATTTAACCAACATATAATAACTTTTCTTAGTGGGATTTAACTCCATATCAACTCACCTTTTATCCAAAAGACAGATAACCACCAAGACGCATGCTATTCTGAGGACCGAGTGTTCCATTTTGGGCATTGCAATTGTGGAAAAAAAGTTTTAAAAATAAAGACACAAGGGTTTAAAGTCCAGTATTCCGCCTTAAAGTTTAAGGGAGGACTAAACAGAGGAAGGAGGTCAGGTCAGGTCCGGATAAACGTTGGCTCTGGACTTGACAGCTCCGACGACGTCCAGATGTGGCAGCCAGCGGCGGGATACTCATTCACAAAATAAAAAGTTTCATCCACCTTTAGTGAATGGAGGAGGTTGTTAAAAGTTTGAGGAAAAAGTCAGAGTTGTCGCTCTCATACACATCCGTATACATCCCGGTGTGTTCTCCGATGTGTTTGCATAGGTATAACATCCGAAGAGAGACGGCAGGAGCAGATAGGCGCTCTGAATGAAGTCTGCCTGACTAGTGATGTTTCGGTGCGCTCCGATAGTCCTAAACTACTGCACTTAGCGCTTCGCCTGCCCACTTTTTTTTTTTGCGTCACCCAGGGAGAAGAGGAGCGCCGAGGGAGGTCAAGTGCCTCGTTAAAGCAGGATAGAGATCCTTTTAGATAAGGAAAGCACAAACACTTAGCCTGCGCCCTGTGTGTGTGAGGGAGAACATTTACATCCACTGCGATGCTGAGGATGAGGAAGGTGGTGGGCGACATGGGGAGTATTGCAAAAGTGAACTTCTCTGGGGAAAACAGGAGGATTTGTATTAAGTAGGGCAGGGGTCTGCCACCTTTACTATCAAAAGAGCCATTTTGCTTCTTTGTCACAAGATACAAATGCCTGGAGCCATCAAATCTATTTGATAACACTGCTTTTAAAGTTTTAAATATACAAAAATGAGTTTGATGCATCTGTGAACTTATAGATCGACATAAAAAAACATTTTGAAAGTTTGATGCAAACATTTGTTGTGATTTGTTCATAGCACTTTATCAAGCATAAAGATAAAGCTATCATTGTTTGCAGTAAAGAATATATAAATCTTTACAGGCAGAATTAAACTTTCATTTCATTTGTGACTTTTCATTTTGTTGGATTTAACAATGGTTAGTTTTCCAAGACCAGGAAATAGACAAAGAAGGATATTATCTGATAAAATATTAATATTATTAAACTTGCCTTGCCTTACTGTGGTTCAAGAGCCGCGGGTTCCCCTTGATGTAGGGGAATAAAGGATGATGATAAGAATGACCATGAAGGTGATTCTGAGTTGTTAGAAGAAGCCCAAAGAAAACAAACTTTTTGAACACAAAATATGGGGATGTATGATGATTAGATGATGAGACCTTCGATTGATTTTTATCCTTAAATCACACCAGGATTTTTGGCTACAGGGAATGTTAGCATCCATGTACATTGGCACACCTTTTTTTGTATCCAGCAATCACAAAAATACATTTGGAAATGTAATTGTTTACTTTTAAAAGTACTTAAATGATTGATTTGAAATTCAAATGCCTATTTCAGAGTTTCTTTTCTAATCTTTCTAATTTACAGTGTGGCTCATTTTTCTTCAATCCCTCTCTTTAAAGGCGACTTTTAGTTGTTTTTAGTTTCATTTCCATAATGTTTGGGGACTACCCCAGAAAATTGTTTTAAAAAAGAGGGGTTAAGATTGAGCAGTAGAGGCTGTCCCGTCTTCACTTTAAATCCCCATGGTTCATGCTCCATAAGTGGCCTATAATGCAACAGCATATTTTCACTACACCCTCCCTGCCTGGTTATTTTCTCAGTCCCTTTTTCCAGAGCTATACAGAGGACTGTTTTCACAGGCTGCTAACAATGACAATAGGCTAAACTGATGGGATGGAAAATCAGTGGAGTGGTCCTTTAATAACGGACACATGTTCAAAAGCAATGATATATGGGGGTGGGTTTGCAAAGTTCCAATTATCTTAATGTGAAGACAATCGTGTGAGTATAAAAAAAAGTATCATGGAATAAATGAGGGCTTGTTAAAAATTGTCGACTGAAGTTCATGTTGCGCTCTAACCTTGCCTGCGTGTTACGGCCTTTAATCTTTCAATTTAAATAGCTACAAAGTATAACAGAAAGCTCCCTTGTTGACGAAGACCACATGATATCACTCATCTCATTGCTTTATGAGTAGCCTAGAATAAAGATTCAGAAACCACTAATAAAAAGGTTTTCCCCCATTGGAGAGAAGCAAGCATTCTGCCAGTGTGGAGTCACCAAAGTAGTAAAACACTACACGAGTTCAGCATTCAGACGCAATTAAGTTGCCATACACAAATTGAGGGAACAATCCCACATCAAATTCTCTCTTTGGGAGATTTATCACCTGATCTGGAGGAGTTTGGCAATGACGGAAACTTTGTTCTTAATTATTTCAAGCCTTGTTACACTTAGTGGTTTTTGTGACTTTGGTTCTACAGCAGGATGTGTCGCACGCTGTCATCCTGATTTCTCTGCAGCACTCGCTCTCATCATGACGATTAAATGACTTTCTGAATCACAGCTTCTTATAAACTTGACTCATATAACTCCCCTGTCTCCACTTGGAGAATCAAAAAGAAGGGACCTTTTATGTCTATTGTGACCTGGTGAGGCAGCACTATAAAGGAAATCCTGATCATGTTTAATAGGTGGTACTTTTATTGACTGTCTGGGTTGTATGGAAGCTATAATGACTGACCGAAAAATGCATGAAAAATATAACTGTGATAAATAAAAATAAAACTACAAAAAAAATCATGAGTGACAATATGATGAAGAAAAATATTTCACTTACAAAGTGTAAATTATTCTTAAAAAAATGTATAATATTAAATATTAGTTTTAAATATGATGGATATAAAATATTTAAATGAAAGCAATATTATGTAACTTTAATGTATCTCCTATTAAACATTAAAAGTTGGATCCGTAAGCAGTGAAACTGTCTTCAGGTCAACGTGTTGGTTTTGCTGCTACAGCCTTATCTGGTGACCAGCAGATTGTCGTTGCTAATGTTAGCTAATGCTATCAACCATAGCTAGGCATTGTTTTTTAACTGACATCAGCATAATGAATCTTTAAAACCATAGTTTTCACTTAAGCAGAGTGATCTGTATGTTTTTGTGTTTGAAACAGGTCAAGACTAACTTTTGCTTAACAGCTGTGGCAACAAGAAAACTGTCAGTTAAATGGCCGCTCTAAATGGCAAATTGGCTAGCATAAGTAAATATTAGCTATCAGTCTCTACAAAATGTAAGAAAATATTTTAAAAGTCTATTACTCTACGTTCTTTGAATTTATTTTTCATCTAATGTTTTATCTATTTTATTCTTACAAAAAACTAAATTATGGGATAGTTAATCCAAATTATGAAGCATCAAGTAAAAATGAATTTATTGTACATTTCTTATCATGATTCCCTTCTTTTTTTTTGCAAATGTGTGCTTGAAGCTCTTTCGATCAAAGTCAGAGATGTCAATGTTGTGTTCTGATCAGCTGTCACTTCAAATTATTAACCGACTATTGAGTCAATATGGATTAAGCGAATGTCATTGGAAACTAAAAGCCCCACCTGTTTTTTATTTAAACATCACAACTCTCATAATTTGTCAGCAATGATGACTTTGGGGCCTTATTTTTAAACTGTAAGTCCCACCAGGCAACAGCTCTTTTTAACACTTAACATATTTGCTGTGGATGTTTTAAACATTTTTCATAATGGAAAGGATATTGTGCACACACACTCACGCAGACATATAATACACACGACTTCCACATCTGGACTGGAGTCCTCTGCCAAGTGTTGCCGTCCATGTATCTTTTTGTGTGTGTTTCTTTTTCTCTCTCCCTGTTGCACACACACACACACACACACACACACACACACACACACACACACACACACACACACACACACACACACACACACACACACACACACACACACACACACACACACACACACACACACACACACACCTTTAATTGTTTCCCGCTCTTCACCGGAGAGTAACATTCATTACAAATGATATGGGAAACATTTCACTGCTAGTCCCACTTCAACTCGACCCCTGTGTCTAGAGACATAACAACTTTATTTTTATCAAATGCTCATGCCAGGTTCATTTCAAAGTTCCTCTTTTTTCTGCCTGAACATTTTTTTTTTAACATGATGTTCATGTATCCCTTGAAAACATTAATTATTTTTTTATCTTGCAGTGCTCACTCTCACTCACTCTGCTGCATGAAATATGAACCTGCCTAACATTTAATTCAATAATAAAGGAAAACACAGAGTTTTCCCAACAGCGCTGGTTTTTCTTGTGGAGTTGCAGTGTCTGGTTCAATTGAAACTTTATTGTCCTGCAGGGAGAGACACGGCGGAGCTAAGTTTTCACAGTCTGGTAGCGAGTGCCATGTAAACACATTAGGTCATATAGTATTTATGAATATATAGATTCTGGTCTTGTGCAATAATACTGTTAGCTGTAGCAGTATCACACCACAGCAGTGATTTACTTACTGACTGGTAGAACATGGAAAAATAAGATTTTATCTTCATGTTACGCTGTCAGACAAATCCGGTGACTTCATGTTGGGCTTAAGGCTTCAATACAGTAAGTGTTGAGACTGGGTTCATCACGTGGCTTTTGACTCAGGCTCAACGAAAAAATCTCTCATACCGAGACAGTGGTCACTTCTTTCCAAGTGATCCTCCCCTGTATTAAATAAACAACAATAATGATTTGCAATGGCATTATTACCAAGCAAAGTTGAATTGTGTGCTATGCAAGCCAATACGCTTTTTTTATACAGATCATAGAAAATACATAAAAAATAGCAAGTTGGTAAACATGACTAAAGAAAGTAAACTATTATTCTGCTTGACAACATGATTGTGCTTTACATGTTTGAATGTTAAGTCATTTTCCACCCAAATAGTTTGTAGTTTTCTTAGCTACACATACAGTATGGAGTTAATATCCACTATACAGTAATGCCTTAAAGTATTATATCACCGTTTAGCACAAAATGCAGTTACAGTAGAGGGGATATTGGAAAACAATAAACACTTTGTATCCAAATTGAAGCAATAGTTTGCAGAAGTTGGATGAGAAGATCCATACCACTCTGCATTCAGAATGCTAAATATGAAGCTATCAACATATTCATTTAGTTTTGCTTCACATAAAGATAGTAAGGGGAAAGAAATAGGATAGCTGCTTCAGTTTTGTTTAAGTTCAGTTTTTGTAAAGATTATACAAACAAGATAATAACGTGTTAAATAATAGGGCACTCGGATGGTTCAATCCTCTGGCAAGGCTGTCCATAAGGGAAAAATAATTAGTGTTGCTGCCGCGTGATTTGGATCTGCTCCAAAATGCATGAATTGTTCCTGGAACAATGTCAAGCTTCCAAAATGTCCTATGAAAATTG